GTTTTTGCGCTATCAAACGTTAACGTGTCCATTTTCGAAATCTGTTTCTTTGCGGTTGTTAAGCTGTGCGAAGCCGGCTCGGGCTGGCGGGCCAATTTTGTTTGTTCCTGTTTCCAAAACTGAAAACGCACTATCCGTGACGACGTTTGTCACGATCAAAATCCGCCGACGCGTTGTCGTTCGTTCTTACTCATTTTCTCCTTAGGCTGTAGTTTTTGCGACGCCCACACACGTTTCTGATACCCTTGCTCGATCCGACGACTTGACTCGATTCGACTCGACCTCACAGCTTTTGCACGGCAGCTGAATGTGGCGGTCGGCTCGACCCTCGGCGCTGCTGCTTACTGGAGGAGTCCAACTGTCGGCACTCGAAGGTCTTTCGGGCAAACGTTCCTCGTTCGGTTTCACAGGCGCTGAGACAAATGAAATTCACCTGATGATGCATGAACGAAGAGAGGGAACGGGGGACGGACGGAGAGGTAGTGCTGTTTTGCAAAAATCGTCTCCGCCATTGGGCGTTGCAGCAATTCCTGGTTCGATTAGTGGTAGCGGTGATCATATCGATATGTCTTGCTTGTACTAGCCAATGGAGGTCCATACGTAACGTGGTAGAGAAAATTCGCCTGAATAAAAAATTTTCGTTTAAGTATCGCTTGTACGCATACTCGAGGTAGATTGCGGAGAAGAGAACAAATATGAGACATTATCTGCTGTTGTTTGTCACCATTTAGGGCAGGATAATCTGGACAACTCCTCTTGCGCTAAATTGATGATGTTAGCTATGCGGGCGGTGATTTGTCGAATTACATTAGGCATTAACCGCTTCCACAGAAGACATGCTCCGTGTCTTAGAAGACTGTCTTGTCGAGATCAGATTTGGCCGATAAATCTGGCTTGTTTATACTCGTGAGGGCAGCCACGAGGATTGAAGCCAACCATAAGTCGTAACGGATCTGCTGGATGTTCCTGCAACGATCAGTATAACCTTTGCAGCAGAGATGGGCAACGCTGATAGGTGAAACTTCGGGAAACGGAGACCATGTTAACGAGGTCAGACTTCATACATAATTCAGCACAAGTGTGCTGTTCGAGCCTCGCTGCTTTGACTCGCTTGACAATGGCAACAATGGTCAGTTCCCGGCTAAGTGGTTGCTGCCATTTTGCGATCCAAATCCGCTACTTGCACTTGCCACCTGTATGTTGAAGCTGCCACGCAAAATATAGCCTTGCTGCACGACGGCGATGGGTCGAACGGCGAACGAAAGACGTTGCTGTCGATCGGTCGTGTGCCATCGGCCATCGTCGTCTTCGCTTAACCGGTTTTCCATTCCACTTATTACTACGCACAGACTGACGCGAAGGACATCGGGGAAAATAATTTTCGAAAAATTATTACCGTGTTCAAATGATGATCGACGGACGAGCGGTCGACGGTAATGTGCCGTTACGCGTTCGCAGTCGCCCGAAAGCCCGGCGAGTGCTGGACGCGTATTTCATAACTCACTAGTTTTAAGGCGGTCGACAGTTGTCTGAAATTTCAAGCTTTAGAGTCGTGTAAAACGATCGCATGTCCGTAGGTTGTCGTTGTTGTGGTTGTTGCTCTGTTGTGGCTGTCACCGTCACTGATTTAGCCGGCCCCAATGACGTCCCGGGTTACGTTTCCCACCCCGTCATCCAGTGTTCCCTGTTCTCTGCCATTTCGGCTACTTCCGTCCGTTTGTAGTGGTACACTGCCATCCTGAGAGGAATTTTGACCTCACTTCTGACAGTGTCCCACTAGGACTCAACGATGCATTCGCCAGACCAAGGTGGCGTTCGGTGTCATGGAGGTAGTACGGTCGACTGGATATCTCCAGTCACACAGTCGCCGTTCTTTCACGACATTGGAGAGATGGGTGATGCTGCAAATAGGGCACACATTGTGTCGTTTGATGTCATCATCAGCCTTTTTCTATTCACTGCTGGACGAAGATCTCAGTAAGACTTTGCCATGAACTTCTTTTCTGCATTTTTTGTCCATCTTGATCCATCAAGGTTCTTCAACTCATCCTGCCGTCAATTTTGAGGTCTTTTCATTGATGCTTTATTCTCTCATGAGACCAAGTATAATGTCTCTTTGATCAGTTCTTTCTACCAGATATCACGTCAATTGCCATCTTAATACCTTCACTCGTGCAATGATAGCGCAGACTTCTATTTATGCTCTTACTCATTCATTCATCTATCTGTCTTTTCCTGCTATTCCTAACGCAAATCTTTCCATTATGGGCTGCGGAGTCTTCAGTAGTTTTTGAATGGCCCTCAGGATTAGGGTCTGCGTTTCAAGGTCCACAAGGGGATCACATACTGATCGAAAACTTTCCGTTTCAAGCACCAACATAGTTTTCCAGATAGCAACATTTCTAGTCTTCCAAAAGTACTCCAAGACAGTTTTTCAGTTGATCTCTCATAGTCGGTTCTCCGTTGCAGACAATGTCCCAGATACATGTGATTCTGTGGTTCTACAGGCTTAAGTCCTTTAACTTCAACTAGTCGCGAGGTCACGTACTTGTCGAAAGTTACCTGAGTCTTCTTCAGGTTCGTTTTCAGTGCTGCCTCGATGGTAGCGTCGTCGACCATGTGAGAATGAGAAATGTTTTTGGCAGGCTTAAACATGCCCATGTATCTTCAGGTTTTCCAAATAGGCTATCCTGAAGGCCTCTTTCTGGGCTGCAGAGATGATAACGTCGGTAACATTGCGTTATATATGCCTTTAATCTCACATCATCTTGATATCTCATATCATTGTCTCTTATTTGAGCCTCCTGAAGGTGTCCATTTTAAATACATCTGTAGATTCTATTAGATTTAAATTATTATGTTCTTTCAAACAAAAACGATCCGGTCATCTTTAGATGCTCTTCTATTTATTTAGTGAAGAATTCAGTCAACATGTCACAAAGTTGCATAACGGAGGTGCTAATGACCAAATTTCGCATCCTGTATTTTGAATGACACGAAACAAACAGTCTTTCTACCGTGTCAGTCATTTTAATTGTTTTTATTATATATGCTTAGGAAGTGTGCGCATGCGAAATGAAAGTAAAAATAAGCATTCGCATTCAGATTCCGTATTTTATTTTTTACTTAACGTAATGCATACGAACATTACATCACACTATACTATTATATAGTAGAATAATACAACGTCCTCTGTACGCTAATACGAAATTGTGCAGCGCAACGATGCCACATTATACAGAAAGCTGAAATGTTAATAACAGACCAACCTCAAACATAAGTGTCACGACATCATGGCACAACGAATCAGACGGTACGCTTTCAACATATTCTCATTCCCTCCAGGCAGATCACTTTTACGTAACGCCATCGACGGTCAGTTTAGCCTCATAGCCGGTCCTTTCCATATGTTCATAATGATGCTTATGTGTCCAGGTCGTATTATGCATATTTATTCGGATACAAGCACCTGTTTCGCCTCGGTGCAGTCGGCAGTGGTTGAACTTTGATCTCTATTGTGTGCAAGTCGAATTTCGTCGATTTTGCCCTCTGATCAAGAGTATAGTTCTCCATGTGTCGTTTGTCCATCAAAGCCTGTCTTTTCATTCTAATTACGACCCACAGATTATTGATCACAGAAAATCGAGAGACGAGGAAGATTATCGTTTTTACCAAAGAAGTAATAACGTTTCACTACTGCGGTCATGTCGAACCCAGTGCGATTGTCTTCCCGGGGACCAGCTAGGATCCTCAACACTTGGATGATATGCCGAATGGCGAAGCACTTCAGCCGGGTCATTGATGCCTTTCATGGACGTACATAGATTCGTTATGGATTCACTCTCGACGGAGACCGTGTATGTTAAGAGTATGGTCGCAAAGTCCGTTTGTTTTTTGGAAGGTAGCCGAAAGTCGTCGACTGCATCCTCTTAACGTGGCTCATTGAAACGAACTCAATCCTTCATTCATAATCGCTCGTTCGTCCCTCGTTTAATATCTGAAATTAAAACTTGTTTCCCGTGTATGCCGAAACTTTGATGAGCTGAACTTGGTTATGGTTTGGAGCGTCGTCACCTTCGATCGACCTT